AGGCCCGCCCCCCGCCCCTCGCCCCCCTTCCCACCGTAGGCCAGCTCGCGCAGCCCTCACCGGTGATCAGCACCGGCCTCCGCCGCAGCGCGTTGTCGAGCAGGCCGGAGCAGTAGCCCAGGAAACCGAAGTACAGAAGCCGCGGGTCGGTCATTTTGGACGGGGGCAAGCTCCGAGCCTCATCCGGCAGGAATTTTAAGGGCTCTCGGCCCGGCCTTCCGCTCATCATATTGAGGCCGGTTCTATGTGAGGTCTGACTTCAGACCACCAACTATAAGAAAAAAACACCACCACGACTGAACCAACGTTCTCCTCCGAGCACGGGCTGAAGGGCACGGGACACGTCGGTGCAGTGCTCAAATGCTTCCCCTTGCGTGCAGTTCTAGGAACTCTGATGCAGGGTTCCGGGCTACTAAATGGCTCATGCTCCTTGCCTGCGCCCCCCAATTCAGCTGGTGTGAGGGTTTGCGGGCCTGATACCAACTGAGAACATTTTTTCCCCATTCGGTATTTCCTCTGCCACTGAATTGCTCTTCAAAAAGGATTTTATTTGCCTCTAACACCCACCAGTGGGGCGTGATGGATAATTTTTAACAGCTAGTTTTCTGGGATTCCATCCGTTCATTGGCCTCTCCAAAACCTAAAATTAAGGTCCAGCCAGAAACAAAGTATTCAGAGAAGGCCAGGACTGGCTTATTTAGCCTGTTGTTGAAATTCAGGTCTTGGTCTTTTAGGCCTTTTGTACATGGCTGAAGGGAGGTGTTCCCTAAAGGTTTAAGAAGTGAAAGAAAAAGGAAATCTATAACATTGTCAGGTGATTGTCCAGTGTCTGCTAGCCTGACTAGAATAAGCAAAGGGGCATTTTCATCTTTGAACGGCTCCCTTTTTAGAAAGCCCATCCTGATCTTGAAGGAAAATGTCTTCATGTCCTGTCCATTCACTAGTGACATTTAGCATTTTATCCAGGAGAAAGTTGACTAAACCAGAGGTCAACCCAAAGATATGCATCAGAGGCAGAAGTGCTAAATGCCAGCTCAGAGTAGAATGTTGTGGAAGTTGGCTTCAGTTCTTGTACTCTCACTGAGAAAAATTCAGTGAGAAACGAGTTTGAGCAAACAAGCAAATCTTTATTTAAAAAACATGGTGGTGTGTCGCCTGTAACCTTAAACACTTGGGAGGTGGAAGCAGGAGGATCAGGAGTTCAAGGTCATCCTTCCATATGAGTCCCTGACTCAAAAAAGAATTAAGTAAATATATCAATAAAATAAAAGCAATAGACATGTGCAGACAATCAACAAGTTTAAAATATTTTCTATCCCTGTATCTTTGCTTAGAATTGGTTTGAGTTAGGCATTAGTTATTCTTGAGATTTAAAAAAAATTTATTTTTATTTTCTGTGTATGAGTGTAATACCTGCATGTACTTCGGTGAACCTGTGTCATACAGTGCCTGAAGAGAACAGAAGAGGGTGTCAGATACCCTAGAACTCTAGTTATGGACAGTTCCTCTGCAAGAACAGCCAGTGAATGCTCTTAATGGCTAAGCCCCCTCTTTCTCAGATTTGTCTTTCCTTTGTCTCTACAGCTCCCACTCTTTTTGAGAATTGTCTTTTCTCTGGTCCTATAGTGCCTCCTAGTTAATCATCCTGTCTTAAGGTAAGGAGGAGGGAGTCTTATCATGAGAACTAGCACCAGACTCTCTTACTAAGCTGTATAGGCAGGCCAGCTGCAAGCTGCCCAAAGAAAAGCATGAGACCCCTTTCCTCAGCTCCACTGCTTATGTCATGAAGGCTGGCAGTGTAGCTCAGCCTCACCATGCATGAGGACATGGTGGGGGGGAGGACTTGGTTTTTGAGACAAAATCTCTCTATGTCTCTATGTAGCCTGGCCTGGTCTGGAACTTGCTATATAGACCAAGCTAGCCTCAAACTTATAGTCATCTTCCTGCCTCTGCCTCCTGAGTGTTTCCTATCTCCTCCCTAAAAAGCACTCCCTGATCTGAAATATTCCAAGTCAAAATTATTTGAGAAAGCATATATTAGAATTTTCCTGGAAAGCACCAAAAGATTCAAAACTTCACACTTTGGCACAGTAATTACATAGCTCATAATCTGTCCTGTAAAAATAGTATAATTATGCCCGGTATGTTAGTTCACACATGTAATCCTAGTACTTAGGAGGCGGAGGAAATAAAGTCTCCAAACGTTTGAGGTCAGCCTGGGTCACAGAGTGAGACCCTATCTAAAAAGCAAACAAAACTCAGGGCCAGGGATATAGTTTAGTTGTAGAGTGCTTGCTTAGCATGCACAAGGCCCTGGATTCCATCCTCAGCACCACAAAAAACAAAACAAAACACTGTAAAGTGAAACCTTCTTCTGTACAAGTTTTTTTTTTTTTTAAGATAGTCTCATGTAGACCAGGCTGGCCTCAAATTCATATTGTAGCTGAGACTGGCCTTGAACTCCTGACCCTCCTGCCTCTACCTCCCAAGTGCTGAGATTACAGGTATGCAGCACCACACATGACTTGCACTGTGTTTTGTTGCATTGATGAGTTGAAAATTATATAAAAAGAATTCAAGCCACCAAAAAATGTCCTCCATTAAGAGTTCTGAATACTGAACTATTAACAAACACATATTTGCACAATTACAAATATTTTTGTATTGAATGCACAAAATAAGGCTCAGCTTTGAAAAATGTATCTGTATATAAGGGGCTCTGTAACAGCATCCCACCCATCCCATCTGGGACTTTAAAAGTTTATTTATTTTTTTGTATATGAGTGTTTTGCCTGCATGTATATAGGTATACTGGTGCATGCAATGCCAGTGGAGGTCAGAAGAGGGTGCTGGATCCCCTTGATCTAGAATTACAGATGGTTATTAGCCACTATGTAGGTGTTGGGAACTGAACCCAGGTCCTCTGCAAGAACAGCGAGTGCTCTCAACCACTGAGCTACCTCTCTAGCCCCTGCAATCTGGGACTTTAAAAAATTGTTTTACATGTATTTATTTTATTTTATTATTATTATTATTATTATTTTTTTTTTTGTGTGTGTGTGTGTGTGTGTGTGTGTGTATACTGAGGGTTGAACCCTGATTCTGGTTATGAGTCTCCTTGGCTAACAGCAAGGAATTCTGATAGACCAGACCACCATCAAAAACAAAAGAACCAAATGTATATACATTCCTTTCTTATAAACAAAATTGATAAAATGCCTACTAAACCATGCCTTAAGTCCAGCCTCTTTGTGACCTGTGTATAAGTAAGGATCCTTTTCATCAATGTTTTTGTCTTTATGAACACTCCCTTCTCCACCTGTATGCCTGTGGAGCAATGTACCTAGTAAGTTTGTTCAGGGACAAAATTCTTAGGTAAGAAAAATAAGTATGCCAGTGGGGCTAGAGATGAAGCTTAGTTGGTAGAGTGCTTTCTAGCATGCATAAAGCCCTGGAGTCAAGCCCCATCACCACAGAAACCAGTCTATAATTCCAGCGCTAAGGAGGTACAGGCAGGAGAATCAGATGTTTAAGGCCATCCTTTGCTACACAGTGAGTTTGAGGCCATTCAGGGCTACATGAGATTTGTCTCAGAAAAAAAAAAAAAAGAGACCCGGAATAAAGAGAGCTAGCTCTTGCAGAAGACCAGGGCTCAGTTCCCAGTACCCACATGGAGGCTCACAATGGTCTGTAACTGCAGTTCATGGAATCTGACTCCCTCTTCTGGCCTCCTCAGGCACCAGGCACTTGTGTGGTACATACATACATATAGGTAAAATACTCATACATATAACATAAAAATAAGTCTTTAAAAAAACAAACACAATAACAAAAAAGTAAAATCACGAATTTTGGAGGTAATGCAGCTGTGAAATATTGTTGGTTTCCCACTAGCTGTGCTATAGATAATACCTTTGATATATGGGTTATGATAACAGATGCCTGGGTTACTTTCAGGGACTTGAAGACCAATTTTGTTGAAACTACTAATTCGGGGGTGGAGAGATGGCTCAATGGTTAAGAGCACTGGCTGTTCTTGCAGAAGACTGAGGTTTGAATCCCAGCACCCACGTGGTGGCTAACCGTCTGTAACTCCAGTTCCAGGGGATCTGATGCCCTCTTCTGTCCTCCAAGGGCATTGCACAATGGGCGCACTTACACACATTCAGGCATAACACTCATACACATAAAAAAATAAATAAAACTTTAAAAAAGAAACTTATTCTTCATTTGGGCTTGTGCAGATGTCTAATGAGTGGCCTTTGTCAGAGGGCTGAAAAATTCCCCTCTAAACATGCCTCCCATGAAGACTGATTTTGCATGTGCAGATCAATGGTTATATCATCTTTCTCCATGCCTTAACCCCTCACCTCCCAACAACTAGGAGGTTGAAGCAGGAGTAATGCCACAAATCTAAGTCCAGTATGGGCTAAGGAGTGAGACTCTGTCTTATAAAACAAAACAAAGCAAAGCAAAAACAAAATGAAACAAGAACAAAACCAAAACCAAACAAAAAAATCCATTGAAATGTTGTACTTAGGTAACTTAACAAGACAATTGAAATGATCTTTAAAAACTATATACTAGGGGCTGGAGAGATGGCTCAGTGGTTAAGAGCACTCTGCTAAGAGCACTCTGCTCTTGCAGAGGACCCAGGTTCTATTCCCAGCACCTACATGGTGGCTAACAACTGTCCTTAACTCCAGTTCCAGGGGAATTCGATGCTTTCTTCTGATCTCCACAGGCATTGCATGACACAAGTGCACTTACATACATGCAGACAATATACTCATATACATAAAAATAAAAATAATAAGTAAAATACTTAGAAAAAAACTATATACTAACGTTCACCAGTAAGATGGTTCAGTGGGTAAAGGTGCTTGCTGCCAAGCCTGATGGCCTGAGTTCAATCCCTAGAACCCATGGTGGACAGACAGAACCAACTCCCAACAGTTGTCCTCTGATTTCTCAAGTGTGCCACAGTTTGCATGCCTATGTGTGTATACACACACACACACACACACACACACACACACACACACACACACCCTTAACTCTGGGGCTGGGAAGATGGCTCAGTGGATAAAGCACTCTCTGTGCAAGTGTGAGGACTGGAGTTACGATCCTCAGAACTCACATAAAGCTGAACACAATTGCATGCATCTGTAATCCTAGTGTACCTACATTGAGATGAGAGATAGACCAGTTAACTTGACATACAAAGCAGTAAACAAAGAGACTCTGCCTCAAACAAGGTGAAAGGTGAGGACTAACACCTGATGTTGTCCTCTGAGCTTTACACAAGAGAGCGCCTGAGCATCTACACATATGGCACTACACATAAAATCACACATACACATTATATATATGTTA